GGCAGAGGAAATGAACAGACACTTCTCCAAAGAAGATATACAGATGTCCAATAGGCACATGAAAAGATGCTCAACATCGCTAATCATCAGGGAAAATGCAAATCAAAACCACACTAAGATATCATCTTAAACCCATTAGAATGGCTATAATCACAAGACAAAAAGCAACAAATGGTGGAGAGGCTGTGGAGAAATGGGAACCCTAATCCACTGCTGGTGGGAATGCAAACTGGTGCAGCCTCTATGGAAAACAGTATGGAGATTCCTCAAAAAATTAAAAATAGAAATACCTTATGATCCAGCTATCCCACTACTGGGTATCTACCCAACGAACCTGAAATCAACAATCCAAAGAGGCTTATGCACCCCTATGTTGATGGCAGCATTATTCACTATAGCCAAGACATGGAAGCAACCCAAGTGTCCCTCGACTGATGATTGGATAAAGAAGATGTGGTATATATATACCATGGAATACTACTCAGCCATAAAAAAAGACAAAATCCTCCCATTTGCAACAACATGGATGGACCTGGAGGATATTATGTTAAGTGAAATAAGCCAGAAAGAGAAAGACAAACAGTGCATGATTTCACTCACATGTGGAAGATAAACCAACACACGGACAGATAGAACTGTTTGGTGGTTACCAGGGGCTAGGGGGGTGGGGACTGGGCACAAGAGGTGGAGGGATGCACTTATATGGTGACTGATAAACAATAATGTACAACAAAAATTTCACACACACACAAAAAAGAAGGGCTATGAATATTCTTTTATATGTAGTTGTCATTTTAAGAACATTGGAAAGAAAGAAAAAAGAGGTTCTGGGATCCAGGTCCCTAAAAGTAGCTGGGGAGGTGCAACTGTGAGTAGCCTCAGTGGAGCTTCCTTTGAGATAATTCAGGCTTGGCCTTGTCAAGGAAATACCTTTTTTCCTCAGAGGATCATTCCTCAGATACTGCATCGAGGATTCCTAATCACTCCTAGCCTATTTATCTTAGATTATACAAAACTTCAAGGGAAAGGAAGTTCAGTCATTTCTGCCGCACTACCTTATAGCTAAATATTGTCTGGAACCTTCTTCTAGAGTGTCTAGACTTATGGATCATGAAAGCACTGTACTTACAATTACAGTTTTATTATAAAGGATACAGATCAGCACCAGCCAAATGAAGAGACACATAGGGCGAGGTCTGGGAGCATTCCAAACACAGAGCTTCTGTGCCCTCTCTTAGTGAAATTTGGGCACGTCACCCTCTCAGCACTTTGATGTGTTCACCAACCAGGAAGCTCCACTGAGTTTTGGTGTCCAGAGTTTTTATTGGTTCTCCATTATGTAGGCGTAATTGGTTGAATAGTTGGCAAAGTAATTGAACTCAGTCTCCAGCCACCATCCCTTCCCTGGAGAATGGACTGATAACACATGGCTCAAAGCCCCAACTCTCTAACCACATAATTGATCTTTCTGGCATGACCAGCCCTCATCCTGGGCTCTGGGGGCCCACCATAAGTCACCTCGTTAGCATAAACTCAAGTGTGATCCAAGAGGCTCGTGAATAATAAATTCCCATCATTTGGGAAATTCCAAGGGTTTTAGAATTGCCTTGCCAGAAACCTGGGACAAAGATCAGACAAATTCTTGATTATACAGCTGGTGTCTATTCAGATCTTTTGCCTATTTTTAAATTGGGTTGTTTATTTTCTTGTTGATTTTTAAGAGTTCTTTGTAGGGGCTGGCCCAGTGGCCTAGTGGTTAAGTTTGGTGCGCTCCACTGCAGCAGCCTGGGTTTGATTCCTGGGCGCTGACCTATATCACTCGTTGGCGGCCATGCTGTGGCAGTTACTCACATACAAAATAGAAGAAGAGTGGCAGTGGATGTTAGCTCAAGGTGAATCTTCGTCAGCAAAAAAATTTTTAAAAAGAGTTCTTTGTATATTTTTGATACAGGTCCTTTATGTGTTTTGCAAATATTTTCTCCAAGTGTGTGACTTGTCTTTTCATTCCCTTAGCAGTGTCTTTTGCAGAGGAGAAGTTTTTAATTTTAAAAGTCTTGACTTACCAATTTTGTTTTTCGTGGATCATGCTTTTGGTATTGCGTCTAAAAATTCATCACCAAACCAAGGTCACCTAGATTTTCTCTTGTGTTTTCTTCTAAAAGTTTTAGAGTTTTACATTTAGGTTTGTGATCCATTTTGAGTTAATTCTTATGAAGGTATAAGGTCTGTGTCTAGATTAATTTCTTTGCACATGAACGTCCAACTGTTTCCTCACCATTGGTTGAAAAGACTATCCTGTCTTCACTGCCTTGCCTTTGCTTTTGTCAAAGAGCAGTTGATTATATTTGTGTGGGTTTATTTAAGAGCTTTCTGTACTGTTCCGTTAATTAATGTATCTATTCTTTGGCCAATACCATCCTGTCTTGATTTCTGTAATTTTATAGTAAGTTTTGAAATTGGGAAGTGTGAGTCTTCCAACTTTGTTCTTCTTCAGTATGTGTTGGCTATTCTAGGTCTTTGCCTTTCCATGTGAATTTTAGAATCAATTTGTTGATATCTACAAAATAACTTGCTGGGATTTTGATTGGGATTGCGTTGAATCTACAGATCAAGTTGGGAAGAATTGTTATCTTAACAATATTGAGTCTTGTATTCCATATACTTGGAATATCTCTCCATTGTTTAGATCTTCTTTGGGTTCTTTCATTCGAGTTTTATAGTTTTTGCATATAGACCCTGTACATATTTTGTTAGATTTATACCAAAGTATGTCATTTGAGGGGGGCCTATTGTAAATGATATTAATTTTAATTTCAAATTCTAATTCTTCACTGGTAGTACATAGGAAAGCAATAGACTTTTGTATGTTAACCTTGTATCTTGAAACCTTGCTATACTCACATGAGTTCCAGGAGGTTTTTTGTTGATTTTTTGGGATTTTCCACATAGGCAGTCATGTCATCTGTGAACAAAGACCGTTTTATTTCTTCCTTCCCAATCTATATACCTTTTATTTCCTTTTCTTGTCTTATTACATTAGCTAGGACTTCCAGTATGATGTTGTATAGGAGTAGTGAGAGTGAACATCCTTTCCTTGCTCCTGATCTTAGGGGGAAAGTATCTAGTATCTCACCACAAGTATAATGTTAGCTATGTGGTGTTTTAGATGTTCTTTATCAAGTTGAGAAAGTTCCTCTCTCTTCCTGGTTTATTGAGAGTGTTTTTAATCATGAATGGGTGTTGGACTTTGTCAGATGCTTTTTTTGCATCAACTGATAGGACCATATGCATTTTCTTTAGCCAGTTGATGTGGTGGATTACATTGACTGATTTTTGAAAGTTGAACCAGCTTTGCATATTTGGAATAAATCCCACTTGCTTGTGGTGTATAAATCTTTTTTTACATTGTTGGATTTGATTTGTTAATATTTTGGTGAGGATTTTTGCATCTTTGTTCATGAAAATATTGGTCTATAGTTTTCCTTTCTTGTAATATCTTTATCTGGTTTGGTTTTAGGGTAATGCTGGCCTCCTAGAATGAGTTAGGAAGTGCTCCCTCTGCTTCTATTTTCTGGAAGAGATCGTGGAGAATTGGTATAATTTCTTCCTTAAGTGTCTGGTAGAAATCACCAGTGAAGCCATCTGGTCCTAGTACTTTCATTTCTGGAAGGTTATTACTTATTTATTCAATTTTTCTAATAAGTATAGGCCTACTTAGATTATCTGTTTCTCCGTGTGTGAGTTTTGGTAGTTTGTGTCTTTCAAGGAGTTAGTAATTTTCATCTAAGTTATCAAATTTGTGCACACAGAGTTGTTGAAAGTATTTCTTATTATCCTTTTAATGTTCGTGGGATCAGTAGTGACGACTTCTCTTCCATAAATTATATTAGTAATTTGTGTCTTTCTTTTTTCTTTGTTAGTCTGCCTAGACATTTATCAATTTTATTGATCTTCTGAAGAACCAACTTTTGGTTTCGTTGATTTTTCTGTATTGTTTTCCAGTTGTAACAGCCTGTTTTTGCTGTTCTGCTCAGCTCAGATCGTCGACTTGCTGGGTTCCCCTCTCATCCGTTCTGTATTTCACTTTCTGTGGTCTCTAGTCAGAGCTGAATGGACAAACTTGTGACGTGGGGGATATGCCAAACTCACTACTGGGTGGTGGAGATGTTGTAACTGCCCTTCAGTCTTTTCATTGCTATTTCTTTTTTTCATCACTGTTCTCTGTTTAGCATGGTTTTGCAAGCAAATCATGTCATATTTTTGTTTGTTTATAGGATTCTTTAAAATCTTTAATTAGGTAACCCCTCAGTGTCACTTATTCCTGTGATCCATTGGTTAATCTGGAGAGGAATATTGGGGAAGTTGGCTTCTCTTCCTCAATAGGTTTTGAGTCTGAATTTTAATGATGAACCTTAAAAGTTATCTAGTCTGACCTTCTTACTTTAAAAATGAAGAAATTTAGGCTCAGAGAAATAAAAACTAAATTTCCAAGATCACACAATTAGTTATTGGTAGGGGAATCTTGTGATTCCTAGTCCTCAGTTTTTTTTCATCTTGCTTCTTCTTTGTTCCTTGATACTGCATTTTTCCCAGCTCTAATCTGAAAAGTCATTGCTCCTCATTTCCTTTATGGGAATGTTACAATTGTAGTATATATAAAACATCAAGTTTCTTGGGCAAGATAATATAAAAAACTTTTTGGGGATAATGCAGAGTGTTGCTAGAAATAACAAGTTATAAAATAATTTTAAGTGACTTGATGATTTTAGTTATTAGAATCTGAAATTGAGGCAAGAATAAAAGGCACATTTAGTTATCAGAATGTGGCTTTGCAGTTATTATTTTGAAAAAGGTTATGCTAACCAAATAAGCCTTGGAGAGTCAGTAAATTTCCAACTTTATTTCTACCTTTAACATTAACCAAGATGAATGTGATTCCTTTTATTGAACCAGTGCTTGCAGTATGTAAAGTTTATTTTGGCTGTGTGCTTTTATTTCAGACAGAACCAAGTTGTATTATTAGACACACTGGAACAAGAGATTTCAAAATTTAAAGAATGTCATTCCATGTTGGATATTAATGCTTTGGTAGGTATAATTTAGTTGACATAGCTTAATGACGTCTTGTTTGAGAAATTGCTGGATTTATTCTCCCGGTGTACATATGTACTTAGGTATGTTTAGGATCTTTTCTTCTAATTTTTAAAGTTTAGAATTTGTCCTTTAACAAGAAACCTTAATTTATTTTACTAGAACTTCCATTGTCGTGAATTGTTATCTTTCAAATGTTAAACTTTTGATAGGAAATAACTTATTTATGAAAGTCTAGAATAGATCTCATAATTAAAGACATAAAAGAGAACTAAAAGTAAAGTGCATCTCTCTATCAATCACATGGTTTTTTAAATTAGCATTTTATTTAATTGTATGGCATTTTCATAATGCCATAACAAGTTAATGATGAAATAGACTTTTTGAGGGTCCTTTTTGAACCCTTTATATCTTTCAATGTAACTACAATTGTTGAGTTTCATCAGAAGCTCTATAGCTTTTTGATGAGAGAAACTGATACTCTTTATTTTAAGAAGTGGAATTAACAAGAATAAGGAACTTGTGGCTATCTTCCTTTACCTTGAACATTAGAAATAGCTTGGTTTGCATGATTTTGTGGACTTTCATACACAGCTCAAAAAATGGACTTTTCATTGGACAAATGTGGCTTATTAATGTTTTGTTTTTAAAATAATCGAAAACAAAGTCCCTCTTCTCTAGCATTAGGCAGGGGCCTGTGATAGTATAATACAAAGTCTGCTACTCAGTAGTCCTGACTTGTTGTGAAGGAGGTGGGCAAGGCTACACTGACCTACTTGTGTCTTCCCCATTGAGTTCATGTTGCAGCAGAATGAATAATGGTTGAATGATAAATGAATGAACAAAGCAGATGTAATACTGTTGCTTCAGTCTAAAGGGGCAGAAACTAAGTCTAGCTCTTTTTTCCTTTCTCAGCCCAAGAGTGGTTTTGATTATCATTTAGGAACTGAAAACTGGAAGGCCCAGAGAGAGAGAAGGAGGTTCTGTGAGCTCTAGAGCTCATCAGACTATGACTGTACTTGTAGTTATGTGAAGGTCGCTAATCTGTCCACTGACACTTCTCTCATTTTTGTTAACTTGTCTTCTCTTTCTGTTATCTTGCCTGAGCATGAGGTACTTTTTTTTCCTTCTCTCCCATCTCTGGCTGAGATGGCAAGTCTATACTTATCACTCCTTGGAAAGAAAAGTGTCCTCACAGAGATTGTTCTGCTTGGTCTGACTTCAGAAGCCCAAGGAACATGACGAAACTTGTCCACAGCCCTCTCAGGGCTCTCTGGTCACAGCTTGGTTTTTCCTGATAGGCAGAGACTTCACTTAAACTGGCCTACATTTCCTGGCTGGGTCTCTCCCTTGTAAAGGCAGTGGAGAGTGCTTTACTTTTCTTAAATAAAACTGGTAGCATTATTGGATAGTCTTACTGAAATTTTATATATTGCATGTTTTTAAAGCAAAATGTTATCTGTACACAATATAAATGTCTGTTTCATGTTTAGGACCTCTTTTTTGTCAGTCTGAACTGAATCAAGTGTTTTCAAAATCCTACTAATGGTTTAAATGAAATTTGAATTTTGGAATTAAAATGTGGAGAGAATTAAGGCTTTAAAAAATTTGACCAATTTAGAAAGAATGAACTGTAATTTAGGCATTGACTTATTTATCTTTTTTGATATTTCCGTCTATTTTAAGTTGACTTTTCATTTGCTTTTCCATGTTAAGTTCACTGAAGCTAAACACTATCATGCCAAGTTGGTGAATATAAGAAAAGAGATGCTGATGCTTCATGAAAAGACATCAAAGTTAAAAGTGAGTTGAAAATTCTTTCACATTCATTATAAAAGTAGAGGTTTAATGTCTTTCTTCAATATTCATTTTCTGACTTCTTAGATATCCATAGATAATAACATACTTAATTCATGGTACATTATTTTCTTTTAAAACATATTGTCTTGAACCCCACTCTGGGCTTTTCTACTAATAGCTGGGCTAGTAGGCTCATATTCTCTGAATATGTCACTGCAGTTCTCATTTAATAAGAGTTTGGAGTAACAGTTTTTTTTGTATCAAGAGGACTTTACCCAGAACAAATTTGAAAGTTAAACATGAAATTTATTAATATGTATTGGTTACCTCAAAGCAAAGCACTATTACTTTTAAATTAGGCCATAACCTATAACCTTTGATTGCTCTCTTGGTTTTTGAATTTTTCTAACCTAGAAAAGAGCACTTAAGCTGCAGCAGAAGAGGCAGAAAGAAGAGCTGGAAAGGGAGCAGCAACGAGAGAAGGAATTTGAAAGAGAAAAGCAGTTAACTGCCAAACCAGCTAAAAGGACGTGAAGAGTTGAACATGTTTGTGTGTGTTTCCTTCCCTTGTCCCACATTCTTTGGATGTAAGATGACCTAAGTGGTGACTGAAGTTAAGATAGTGCCTTATACCATTGTGTCACATTTTGAAATCCTTTTCCCAGGAGGACTGTGTCTCCATATCTTCATTTCAGCCTTTTAAGAAGCTTTTTTCTAAGTAGAAGACATGATGTCTCTTGGTTTGGATATTTATATGTAATTTTTTCAACTTCTGTTTTGCTTAATTTTAAAATCCGTTATTTTGGTTTTGGATCATTTATAAACTGGAAAATGGCTTGATTGTTTTAATAGTCTAGACTCGAAGTGGTTAAAAATTAGTATGAATTTTTTAGCTTCCCAATAAGTGTGGATTTAAAAGTTTCAGTTTCTTATTTTATGAAATGACTAGCCTTTCTGGCAATACATTGCTGTGGTTTAGCAATTGTCTTTTCATTGCTTGGTTAAGACGAAATGCCAACTGTTTAATCACATATGCCACTGAAAAAGAGGTGGTGTAAGCCCTTGTGAAGAGCGTGATAGGAAAGTGTATACCCAGGAAATGATAGCCTCTTAGAGGTGGGATAGGTGAACAAGATGCCAGATAGATTCTGCCAACCATGTACTCTATCTGCTTCCCAGCATTGTTGTTGCTGTTTACTTCTTACGTAGCTTCTGGGTTCAAAGGAGATATCTGTTCCTAAGGTTTGGCAGCGGTGGTGGAACTGTCACACACAAATTCTTGTATATTTGTAATACTTAATAACAGTTGTTACACAGTGAGATATGGTTGTCAAGTTAATAAGATAATGAGCCCAACTTTACAAATGGGAGGTCTAATCACAGTTCTGTCTATCCTCTGATTCACTATGTGGCCTTACATGTTACTTTTTTGTGCTTGTAAAAAATTCTTAAAAGTAGAATGATATATACCAACTTTCCATTTTATTGATAATGACAGGAATGGTGGAAAATAAGTAAATAGCTTCTTCACAAAAGAGGCAGCATGATACCTTTAGTGTTTTCTAGATTTTCCCACCAATATTATATGTAGAAACTTATTATGTGAGAAATATTATGGTTTCGTTGTTTAATATTGAGTATATTATTCACTGTTTTAGTATTATTTAATATCCAACTAGTCTTCAATCTCTATTACACAGCGACTGTACAGAACCTGTAAAGGTGTATGATTAGAACCTGTATCTTTTATAATCTACATTACGTTTTTGGTAAGCTGGCATCACTACCTCTAATCATGTATCGGGCTAGTTAATGATGGAGAGGACATCAGATTTAAGTTGAGTGCTAAGAACTGGTCCATTTAAAGGTTTAAATAGTTTGTTTGAAAGCCCTTCCTTTCTTTAATGAATGAATCTGATCTCACAGTTCACTTAACTTTGACCTTATATTTAAGAATAAAGGGCCGGCCCCGTGGCTTAGCGGTTGAGTGCTCGCGCTCCGCTGCTGGCGGCCCGGGTTCAGATCCCGGGCGAGCACCGACGCACCGCTTCTCCGGCCATGCTGAGGCCGCGTCCCACATA